AAATTCAGTACTAAGAGTTCTTGTTCTTTGTTTTTCTCAGAAAAACACTCTCCTCTTCCCAGGCCTGCTGCCATTCTGTCACACTTCAGCTTTTCCTCAGGGGAAGTGAAAACAACTGTGGATTCCTGCTGACCCAGCAACTTAACAATTCAAAAGCCTACTCTAGTATTATTTTCTGTAATTACTCATTTTGGTCAAGTCTCATCCCTTGCCTGACAGCAGCTCCTGCTGGACTTGCCCTCGTGGCAAATCTGATCAGGATGAGCTGGAGGCACAACTCTGAGTCTTTGCTTTGGGGATTTGTCAGAGCTGGGTTGTAGCAAGAGTCTACACAAATGCTCTGACCTGCTGCCTGGGGCTCTCTGAAGGGCACCAAAGATGAGCTACAGCTCCTTTTTGCAGTACTTCACTTTTTTGGTAGGTCTTAAGAGGTGTGTTTTTAAAGGATGAATTCACCCAAATGCCTCATGGTCATGTGTAATGGTTGTCACTTGTATAATATTATACTGATTCACAGAATATTCCACTTTGTTCACTCTGTACCCTGGCTTTTATGTGTGTGCAGCTTGTGGCCAGGGAGTGATTATATTTATGGTCTTTAATGATGATTGTACAACCTGTAAGTGTCCTATCACCTTAGGTGTGATGAGTCACATTTATCCATCTTGGGAGGGATAAAAGTTTCTGGCTGCAATTTATCCTGCTTGGCTGTGGTGTCTGCAGCTCATCACTGAGAGTTGTTCCCTTCTCTTTCTGAAATCTTGTCTGAGCTTTTTCTTTCCCCTTAGCTCTACATGCTTATGATCCTGTCTTCAAGCAAATCACCCATTCCCCCAAGGTGCAGGTGAGCTGTTATTGCTTCCTAGAATGGTCTTGGGGGAAAAAAAATAAATTGCAGAGTAGTTAATTTTTGTTTTCTACACTCCCAGGGGAAGTCATTTTGTCAGTGAAAGGAAATGTAAATATCTTCAAAGAATAATGTTAAATAGTGTGCAGAGAGCATAAATATTGGAAATTTTCTTGCAGGAACTGGGAAGAAAACTAGGCCTTGAGAGACCAGTAGTTGTGCAGAGCATGTATATCTTCAAGGTACAGGAATTCAAGTTGTCTTGTCACTCAAGAAATAAGACCCTGTTAAGTGGGAAGCTGTGAAATTCTTCACACATCACTTTTTTTTTTCTTTGCAGCAACCTGGCATTGGTGGTGAAGGTGAGATTTGTGTTACCTCTATATCACACTGCAGATAATGCTCCTTTAGGAAAGGAATATTACCAGGGAAAAGGCTCAGAATCAGACTTAAACCTGTGAATTTGGCAGTCCAAAGCTTCTTAAAATAATCTTTGAAATCCACATTTTTTCTGAAAAGTTTCTACATCATATGCAGCTTGAACAAAGAGCTATTTTTACATTTGCAGCAGGCTAAAAGGTGGTATTTTTATGTAAGATTTAATGTGTGTGATAGGTGGGTGGGCAGGGGAGGGACCTGAGTCAGGGAGATGCAACCCTAAAGTCCTTTTGGAGGAATTGAATCTCATTACAGACCCCAATGACAGTCTTTTCTTGCAGTGACACCACACCAGGATGCCACTTTCCTGCACACAGAGCCCCTGGGCAGGATCCTGGGGTTCTGGATTGCTCTGGAAGATGCCACACAGGAGAATGGCTGTTTGTGGTTCATCCCTGGCTCTCACACCAGTAAGAGCATGTGTGTGACCACTGCTGGTCACTAGCACAGGTCTGCTTTTCCCCCCTTCTAGAGCACACTAAAGGGCAGCTTTAAACTTCTGCTCACCTAAATATTCACTCAGTGAGTGTAATCATAATGATCTTCAGATTTTAAGCTACTCATTCCTCAAATCCTGGAGCTAGCTGTACTCATATCATGGTTTATGATCCTATAGAAAGCACAAATGGACCAAAGGTTGGTTTTGCATAAGTGTGTGAATATTTGTGTTCCTGAGGGTCTGTTGCAATGCACAGAAGGGGCCAAAAAGGCAAAAAAAAAAGAAAAAAAAGGCAGCTCTTGTCTTCCATTCTGCCACAGTTGGAAAATCCTAAATCTCTACTTAATGAAAAAGATCCCACCCAAATTACTAAGGAAAGTGTGACTATAGTAATAATGAAGTTCCTATCACTGCCAAGAGAAATCACTGATATTGTTCCTTTGCTGTGCAGAATGTAGCCAGGTGTTTAATTTTTGTGTGTTTGCTTATTCTGTGGATTTGCAGAGGGGATTACCAGGAGGATGGTCCGTGCAGCTTCAGGTGCCTCAACATGTGTGGAGTTTGTGGGCTCAGAGCCAGCCTACGATGACAAGCAGTTCATACCTCTGCCCATAAGTAAAGGTACAAACAGCCCCAAATGTGGCTCAAGAAAACACAAGGGAGCTAAAATCATATTTTAACCCTACACCTTCCCTCCCACTGCAAAGCCAGAGCTGATCTTGTGGAAAACAGCAGTCCAGGTGCTTCTTTCCCACAGGTGGACTCATCCTCATCCACGGCGAGGTTGTCCATAAGAGTGAACTCAACAGCTCGGAGTCTTCTCGCCACGTGTTCACCTTCCACGTGATGGAAGCCAAAGGCACCACCTGGAGCAAGGAGAACTGGTAAGGTTGTGATCCTCACCAGCGGCCAAGGAAATGGAAGCCTTTCCAGTGCAATAGTTAGGATAACTCTTGGGGGTCTTGCCTGTACAGTTTGTTGGTAGCGCCTCAGCTGGTGTTGATTTTGTGCCTGCAGAACTGGAATAGCCTCTGAAGTTTTGCTTTTTCCTCTCCTTTGCTCCCTAGGCTCCAGCCAACTCCTGAACTGCCTTTTCCATCGCTCTACACTTGAAGGTAGTGACTGGCTTGTGGGGTCAATAGCCGATCAATATTCCTTTCTGATTGTTCATTCATGGTCTCTTTAAAAACAACCTTCACTAGATCAGCTCTCAGTGTTAATTTATCCTCCTCCTCGAAACCAGGACCATTATCACAGCCCAAAACTGCAGTAGACAGAAGCTTCTACTGCAGCAGGAGCCCTGCCAGTATGAGAGTAGTCACTCAGTCCTTTTGGTAAGGAAACACCTTCAGTCTTGAAAACAAACCAGTTAAGACCATTGCACCTTGACTGGGACCACTTACCAAGTATTTCTCCTGCAGATACTGAGTATTTTCTTGTGTTTAAGAGCTTAAGTGCATTTCTTGACTGTTTGACTCCAGCAATGCAAGTGAACATGTTGTGGGGAGAAGTTTGATTTTCATCCCTAGTTTTCTGTCTTATTGTTGGAATAACAGTGATTTAAAACAATCTTCTTGTGGGTGAAATGAAGCAAGAGGTCTGCTTTTTATAGTCAGTCTTCTAAATACTCCTGGCAGAGAGTAGCTGAGTGTTTTATCTCTGAGTGTGATTAAAAATACAACAATTTTTAAAGATTCATGTTGAAATGATGGAAACAAAGAACCTCAATTAAACTCTTTACAGTTAAATAAAAAAATAGAAATTCTTCTTTTCATCTCCATCATCTTTTCTTTGAGGAAGACACAGTGGGACCTTTTTCCAACAGTTGGGGACAGTGCTAAATTGTCTGGTGAGCAGCTGGAACTCTCAATATGCACACGAATAATTTCTATCCCCAAAACAACTTATACCAAGGAATCTTTGGAAATACAAGCTCCAGTCTGTACCTGAACTGAACAGAAGCTGTGATTTCACCAGCACTGGTGCAGTGGCAACCCTGAGATGGGAGCCCAGTGTCACCAATGCAGGAATTATATCAGAGTAACCCTAAGGCTGCTGAGGGCTGTGGTAGAGTCACCCAAATCTTACTGATTCATCCCTTTCAAAAGCAAATTGGGGAGCTGGGTCACGGCAACAGCAGGAACATTGAATGCAAAGTTTCTGCATTCCAAAACTACCTTTCTTACAGCTGGTTTGAAAGTTGGAAGCAGGGTGGAAGGAAAGCAAATTTCTCTGGTAAAATTTATGACATCAATGGTGAAGGCTGTGGCTTGTCACAGAAGCAACTTAAGTTTTGCCTGTGTCCTTCCATGAGAGAAGTTAATAATTTAGAATTCTGCAGAGGAGGGATAATTTGTCCTGACTTGTACCACTACCTGCAGTGTGCAAAACCATCTACTTCAAGTGCATAAATTAACAAAAAGCTGGGTTGATTGGCAGGATTTCCCATTAAATATGAAAGAAACAGCCCAGCAGTTGCTGAGTTGGGCTGCCTACAGAGTACCTGACAATTTAGTAACCAGCTCTGGCATCCTCAGGAAAAGCAGCACCAAATGCCAGGAGCCCTTCCCAGGCAGGAGGATGAATTGGGCAATGCTGCTTCTCAGCTGTTCCAGTCCTGGCTTGTTGCAGGGACACACAATATTGGATTCTGGAGCCAATTCTGCTGACTCAGGGGCTGGTTTCACTCCACCCTTGGTCTTAGGCTTCCTCCCAAGGCATGGTCTCAGAGCTACAGGCCTGTAGGAGTGTTGTGTAAGGTACCTTGGACTTCCCCCAGACTGTTCCCAAAAGTGAATTAAAAAAGGGTCAGAAGTGAACTTCATGATGCAAACTAGAATCCTGGAATGACAATCTCCTGCTTGGAGACAGGAAGGACACTTGTGTTTTGTTCTAATGGACACTGGGCAAACCAGTGAGAAGAGAATGTTGATACAGAAGGGTTTCATACATAGAAATGAAGTGGGTTTTTTGGCCACAAAATGGTAGTTATAATTGTAATTAAATGGATGGAATTCAGTAGCTTTAGTCAATTTGTTGATAGAAGCATTTTTATACATTATTTGATTAAACATCTGGCTGAAAAAATGGAAAACTAGGAAAGTGTAATAGTAGAAAATTTTATTGACTTCAACAGAGTTTCTGCTTTCAGGATTAATGTGTAATTAGTTTTAGCTGTGACTTTGCTTAATTCCCCCCCCCCCTCCCCCATACTCATTCCAAATTAATTTAGAGATTAAGTCTTGACAAAGATAAAACACTTTTCTTGCTGAAGCAAACTTCAGGGCTAAAGATTCACTGTTCTTATTAGTATGGTCTGGAATGAGCAGTGTCTGACATCCCCAAACCTTCCCCACCCACCCTGGACAACTCAGCTGTGGCAGCTGCTGGTTTTGGAGTTGTGTTTGTGCATCGTGGTGTGGTTTTGGCTCTTGCTGATGAGGACTGGACATAGCTGGACACTTGTACCTGGTTCCTGTGGCCCCCTCGTTATCAAACATGCTTCACATCGTGCTTATACAGATATGAGAGTTCACACATCAAACACAAGACGTAGGACTTGGTACAGAAAACAAGGTACAGTACAGAGGTAGCAACATCCTGGAGACTTGCTTGTTTATTTTGTCCTCTCTAATTGACTTACCTCTTCTTCCTCTGCTTCCCTTGGGTATGCAGAAGAAACTTAAATTGGATTATTAAACACAAGTGCTGTTTTTATCAGTCATGCTTGTTGCTGTTAGAACATAAATCTGTCTATTTTTGATGGGTAAAAACAAGACCAAATCAAAACCTTTATTTTAAGTAAGACAGTAAGACTTTTTCATTTCTGTTCTCAACAATTTTCTCTGCTGTACCAAAACATCATCTTTGAGCTTTCATTAAAGTGCATTTTCTAGTACCTTTCTCTAGGAAGGGAGAAAACTCTGTTCCTGGAAGTGCTTCTATGCCATGAGCATGATCTGGAGGTAGAGAGGCAACAGCAGATTATCAATTTGAGTAGTGTAAGCTTCCAAAAGAGAAACCAAACTCACAGATGCCAGAATCCAGGCATAGCTGGAGTTCAGATTCACACTGCTGTCAAAGATCAGAATGAGAGCCACAGCAATGATCTGGGCAAAAATAGCTGTCATTGTCCCTTCAAAGGTCTTCTTTGTTCCTGGCCATTTCATTTCCCCCAGTGTACTGCCAAAAACAGAGGCAATGGTGTCTCCCACCCCTACTGCCAGCACCCCAGAGTAGGGGACCAGTGCTCCTGCCCCGGGCAAGGTGCCTTTAGGAGCACAAGATCTGGGAAATAACCACACTGGGAGAGACATGCCAAGGAGGAGATAAATATGAGTCAAGATTAGAGGTCCACTGTCTCTTTCATCCAAGAAGAGAGAGAGCAAATGCCTCAGGGTTTGTCCAAAAGGTTTGATCCTGAAGTAGCGAACGTACTCTAAGAAGATAAACACTGCCAGACACAGCACTGCAGCAACGTAGAGGAGCTGGCGGTCATAAATGAGCCCAGGAACATAAGTAGCTACAACAATGAAGTGGAAATACTTCCTGGTTATAGTTGAGGCCTGGTGTTTTTTAGATTCAGATGATCTCTTAGCATTCTGGTAGAAAACCACCCCGCATGCTGAGGCGGCCAAGAAGGTCCAATACACAATGAGGTAAAGTCTTGTCTGTGTCTGAAACAGAAACTGGAGCAGCCAGAACAAAGGGTTCCTCTGGATCAGTCGGTACAGCCAAGGCATGATGACCCCTAAGCCTAACACTGCTGTCATCATGTGGAAAAACATGGAGGAGATCCATGTGCTCGAATCCATGAAAGTGAAGAGCACAGAGAAAAAAAGACCAAGAAGAACAACTCCGACAACTGCTACCAGAAGGAAGAAGTCAATGGGGTCCCCTCTGCCCTCGATTACATTCAGTGAGCGTTTAATGAGCTGATTGAGAACAAAACTTACACCTCCAAGAACCAGCAGCGCTTCCCCGGGAGTAAAACACCGAGGCAACAGGTACAGCAAGATCATACTGAGGTAGACGAAAATGAGCAGCACTTCCAGCACCTCTATCACTTCTGACACAGTCAAGGAATGCTTCATGGTGTAGATAATTACGCTGCCAGCAACACCGGTCAGGATGCAAGTGTTGGTCGGCACGGGTTTGGTGATGCCAACCGCCAGGACGGACAGGAAGAGCGCCAGCAGCATTCCCGCGGACGCCACCACGACGCCGAAGCGCTCGAAGTACACCATGCCGGCGGCCCTGCACCTCTCCTTCATCACCACCCCCAGCAGGGGCATGACCATGCTGGCGGGCAGCAGCCCGCTGTTGGCCGCCCCCCGGAACTGGAACACGGCCCCGCCCTGCTGCAGCAGCCGGTCCCATTTGAACTGCACGTAGAAGGCCTGCAGGGCCAAGGCCAGGGCGCACCACGAGAAGCGGTCCCACACCGCGGCGTGCACCGACAGCACCGCGCCCAGCACCAGCAGCGACTCCACCAGCACGGCCTTGCTGAACATGGCGCCAGCCCAGCCCGCCTCAGCTTGCAGAATCTCAGAGGCCTGCTGTGCTCAGCTGTCCATCAGGAAGAATTTCCTTCCGTGCTACTGCAATTCCTATTAAAAAACAGCAAGCAGTTGTTGCCATCTTGTTGCAAAAGTTCCATACCTTCTTGGTAATTTCTCATGGGCAGCTCCTCGCAGCACTGACTCCTTTTTCACAGCACAGCCAATAAACTCCAGCTCCCCTCTCAACCAGCTAACCCATGATTTTATAGCACTCATCCTCACTGGACACAGCTGTGACCTGTCAAGGGCAGGCCTGTTCCTAATCTTTGGTAATTAGTACAGCTGCAGCTCCTCAGGGGTGGGATTACCTTCTGCACTATCTTTATTTTCTTACATTCTATCCCCCCCCACAAGCAATTAAAGCAATTACTTGGACAGCTGAAGTGTTTGCACAGCTATTTGGTTCTTAATTTAAACTGACAGTTATGTGCCAATTGCTAATGTCAACACACAGATGAATTAAAAAAAACAAACAGTGAGGTGAGTGAATCCTGCACTTCACCTTCTCTGAGTGAAGGCTCACAGCTGCTCACAGCTGCCCTGCAAACCAAACTTTCCTTTAAACTTTTGGACTGGAAGATAAGCAGTTGAGATAATCAGCAACAGGCACATTTTCTCTGTTAGGTTAAATCTCATCTCCTTCAAAGAATTGTGGGCATTGACAACATTGTGCAATTCTCACCAGCATTTGTTGCTTTCTGGCACCCTTGATTTCCCTATGGATATATAATTTGATAATCAGCCATATGTAAAAATCTGCTGTTAGTGGCACCTCTTCTGGGGTCTTTGAAGGTCTCAGGTTCTTTATTTCTGTTGGAAATATTCTGGTTGATCCAGCTGTGAAACACAGCCTTACTTTATCCCTTCTGGCCCACCTTTAAGCTGGTTAGCAGCAAAGCCTTACTAAATTCTGCTCCCCAAGTGTCATTGCCAATATCTACACCAGCTCCCTCATGGAAGGCCAGAAGTTTGTTTAAGGTTCTCTTTTGGGTTTTCAGCCAGTGTTGAAAGGTGACACCAGACTACAAAGCTGACAAAGTAACAGCAGTATTACTGAGGAACTATTACAGTTTGTATTGTCAAAATTCCTTAGTGTGCCTGCAGTGTTTAGATATTTATGACTTTGTACTGAAAACTTAATTATTGATAGATTGCTTTTTGGCATCCTTATTCATATATCCTGAAATACTTGATTGCCAAACATCTTCATTACAGGCACTGTTGCTACACAGCTCCTTCAGGCCAAATGTAATCTTCTGTCATTGCAATTAATTTTTAAACAGGAGAAGAATTAATCATACAGTCAATAAAAGAGAACTGGTTTGGACAATATCCACCTCCAGCCAATAACAGTTTTTGGGTTGTACTCCCTGCTGTTTCTGAGCACTGTGGGGAGGGGGAAGCCTAAGGATTGTTTGAGAAGAAGCAGAGTAAATGCCACCTGCCAACCAAAGACCGAGTGTTCCTACTCGGTCTGGCAGCCTTAGGATTGCACTGCAGCTGTGGTATCAATGGATACACGTCCCTGCCAGGCCAGGCAGAATTTCACCCTGCCCGAGCTCTGTGGTGCAGCAGCTCTGAATGTTTAGACCTGACCATCTGCAACGCGATATATTTCACTGCTGAGTTATTTCGTTTTCTTGTGCCTGCCGCAATCCCCTCCTCCGCACCTTCTCTCAGGTGAGGTGAGGCTCCTCGGCCCCGCCGCTCTCATCCCGAACGGGACCCAGCACCGCGCGGTTCCCGCCGCTCTCATCCCGAACGGGACCCAGCACCGCGCGGTTCAAGCCGGACCCAGCGTTTTCTGCTCCGCATCCCGATTGTTCAGGGCAGGGAAGCTTCCCACTGGCGTGCTGTCAAACATCCGGCAGCCCTCGCCTCGCTGCAGCCCCCGCCTGCTCCCTCTCTTCCCCAAGCCCCTGTGGACGCCCCTCAACCCGCGGGCTGCCCGCGCCCTGTCCTTCTACGCTGCTCGCTGCCGCCTCCTGTCCCCCTCAGCCGCGACACCCACAGCCCAGCCTCCGCTACTGGGAACGACATCCGCTGTCGGAGGCGCTCCCGGGTGATTCCCGGTTCCAGCGCGAAGCTGCGGCCCCGCCCCGGAGCCCAAGGCGCACCCACCTCGCAGGACGCCGCCATCTTGCCGCGCCGCCTGTCACATGACCCAGCTGCGAGGGCGTGGCGTAGGGGGCGTGGCTTGTGCTGCACCACGTGATACCGGCGTGGTGGAGGGAGCCATCCCCTGGGTCACGTGACGACGGAGCGAAGATGGCGGCGGGCGGGCTGAGCGCGAGGTGCGGGGCCGGGGCCGCTCGGGCAAAGGGAACGCGGGGGCAGTGTGGGGGAGGCCCCGGCTCTCGCTGCGGGCGGACCCCGCTCCGCGGGACCGGGGGGCGAGAGAGGCCGGCGGGGAGGGGGGCGCAGCGCGGGGCCGGGGAGGTTTTAACTGCGGCGGGGCGCGCGCCGGGCTGGCCCCGCCCCCGCCTCGCGCGCGCGGTGAGGCCCCGCCCCCCCGGCTGGGGACCCTCAGGGACCCTCAGGGACCCCCAGGGACCCCCGGCTCCCAGAGCGGAGTGAGCAGCGGCGGCCGGGATTTCCTGCTGGTTTAGTTCTGTGGCACGAGATGAGAGCTGGCCAGCGCTCCGTGGCGGCCGTTGCTTTGGCGGCGCCGGGGCTCGGTCCGCGCTCCCTTCGCCGCGGTGCCCGGCGGGCGCTCGGCTCTTCCCTGAGGCGAGGGGCGCGCCGGGGCCCGCTGCGCCTCCCGCGCGGCTCCCGCACACGTACCAGTCAAAATACACGCGTGGAAATGTGTAACGGAAGCGATTTAATGAATCCCGTGTTGAGTGATCATCTTAGTTCGGTGGTTTCGTTTCTCTAGAGCACGTTTTTTATAATTTATGACAACGCTTTTGTGTTCTGGAGTTTCCCTAGTGTCTGATTTTTATTAAATTAATGACACCACTCTTGCCTGTGGTCGTATACAGAGAGCTTTCCTTCCTTAGCTATCTTGAAGCCTTGTTAATGAGGGGACAACAAACCGCGGTCTGTTTTATTCACAGAGGATGTTGTGAAGGAGTGAAAAGTAGGTGGGCTGGCGTTGCCAGGCTGGGGCTCAGATTTGACAATAACTGGAAGAAACTGTGTGCAAGACAAATGACGGCACTGATCTGACGTGATCACTGAACCTGGGATTCATTGAATGGCTTCTTTCACATTGCTGTTCAGTTCTTGGTAAATATCTGGGCCTTTGGGTGCTCTGTTCATGGCAGAAGTGCACCCGGCCATCGAGGAATGAGCAGGGAGAAGTTATGCTGATGGGTGTGCTGGAAATAACAGGTGTTGTCATTAAGTGTCACCACATGGCAGAAGTCACAGATGACTTTCACTGCCACAGCGAGTTATTTTAATAATGTTATTCTAAAAATAAGGCAATGAGTGTTCTTGTGTAGACAGTCTTTGTGTGGGGAGTTGGGGTGTTTAAATCCTCATTTTTAGTGTGTTGCTAGCAAATCATAGTTTATCTAAATGAAATACTCTTTTTGGCAGATATCTTTTCTCTGGGCTGTTTTGGGGAGACTTTTTGAATGCATGTGCCAAGGTCAGGGTGTGATCTGTAAATTCTTACAGTGCAGGTTGGCTTTTCTACAGAGTTCTCATGAAGAGATGACAAGCTGACTGTGAATGTTCTGGTGTCTGTGTAAAGATGGTGCAGTTTTTCACTTCATACAGTTTTATGCTCTGCTTAGAGTGGAGGATGAACCTGATGGAAAAATTTGTTTGAAGGAGAGCATTGAATGTAACAGCAGAAAACTGCTTTATGCTTTCATTTTCTTCTTAGGAGCCTTCAATGATCAGATAGCAAAATCAAATTGAGCTGGTGACCTGATATCAGTGTGAAGCTTTGATGTGAATTCACAGGTCTTGCTGTGTCAGTTGTCACCCTCTCTGGGTTTTTCCTTGGTTTTTGTAGGACATCTGAAGCTCATTAGCTAAAAGCTAATGTTCCTTAAATAATTTTTTCTCACATTGCCGTGTAATTTTCCACAAGTTAATTGCAGGTTTGAAAAGCTTAAGCTAAATGGAAGCCTGGAATAACATTAATCATTAAAATACTGTCCACCTTTTCCATGTGTTTGCAGGAGCAGCAGGGAATTATGGACAATTCTGCTGGGCAGATCAGCTTTAAGAGAACCAGTAAGTTCATTCCCTGCAGAGCAGGTTTGGCCATCACTTACTGGGCCCCATGGCCAAACACATCATTTGTACATCTCTTTGGATATTAGTGAAAATATTTTCTGCTGCTCTTCCTTCTTTCTCAGTGTGAATTTTGTTCCCATACCTCTGCTATTTGTTTATTCTTCCCCTGCTTGTTTACAGCTGCTGGGAGGGGATATGGAAAAGGTGCTTCCTTTTCTGGAGTGGGCACAAGTGCTGCTGCCTGGATTGCCCTGGGGTGTTCATGTGTGGTACAGCTGCTGTCTTATTTTCAGGGCTGGAGCCTGTGCTTTCAAGAATTTGCCCAGAGGTTGGGAATCCAAGTGTTTCTAAACCCAGTCCATTGCCTTCCATGTCCCCACCCTCCCTAGGAATAGGCAGTGCAGCTCACTGCCCTGTTCAGTTCTGCATCTGGAATCACTCTGAGCCACAGACACCTGGCTTGTGTTGTTCCTGCCTCTTTGTGGTGGTGCAATTGCTTTGCTTTGCTGAAGTTTAACAGATCTAGTATTTGGTGATGCACTTTGAGGAGTCTGTTCAGTGGTGTTTGGTTCTGTTTTAGGCCCAGATTGCTGCAGAGTTGAACAAGCACTGGCAGAGGCTGTTAGAGGGACTGTCATACTACAAACCACCAAGGTATAGTCACTGCCTGATTTTAGAAATGAATCTCTAGTGTGGAGTTTCCTAGTAAGTAAAGAAAGGTTGCAGAATATTGTATGAAATATTGAAAGGTCACTGAGGAAAAAGCAAATGTTCAGTTTAAACTGATAAAGTGGAGAACTTTGAAATTATGCCTGTTTAATTTTTTCCTCGAGATTGCTGCGTTTTTAATGACTAAAATTTCTTTTCACTTTAGTACAACTTCAGCAGAAAAAATTAAAGCTGATAAAGATGTAGCTGCTCCACTAAAAGAGTTGGGTCTGAGAGTCAGCAAGTTTTTGGTGAGTGAAGCTGCTCTTGGATTATTTTATCCCTGGAATGCATTGTTATAGGATTCTGATACTGAATTAACCTTTGTGATGTTGAGTAGAGAGAAACTTAAGGTCCTTTCAGTTCAAAGTAATCTGAAGGCTGTTGAAGTACATGTTGAGGCTCTAGGTCAAGCTTCCAAAGCAGTGAGTGACTTTGAGATGCTGTGGTTTTCCTGGTCCTTTTCCATAGCCACCTGCTATGGGTCTGAGTTGGGTTCTTCCAGGCCAACTGCTCAGCTAAAAAACTGATGTCCTTAAATCAGTTGCCTTGTTTGACAGTCCTCTCAGTTTAGCAAGGTTCTGTTTCTTTAAGCCAGAAGTTTAGAATTCAGTGGCTGGTGGTACTTTTATTTAAATGACTGATGCTCCTTTAGCTGAAGTTAAACTGCAGCTCAGTGACATTAAAGCTTGTGTATTTGGCATTAAAAGAAGTGCTGATTAAAGCATCTGCCTGCTGCAAAAATGTTCATTTGGCATGTTATTTGTTTTGAAGATAAGAGCTGCCTGAGTATTTGGAGAGAATCTTAATCTTTAATGAATTTAGCTGCCTTTTATTAATTTCAGATCATTTCTCTTTCTTTTGTTCAGGGTCTGGATGAAGAGCAGAGTGTGCAGTTGTTACAATCTTATCTTCAAGAGGATTACAGAGGGACAAGAGACTCCCTGAAGGTCCATAGCTCCCATTTATGTTCTATTTACTCCACATCTTTCCTTAATAATAGTTGTTTTTTGATGCAGATGGTCAGATGTGAGTCCTGGTTCTGATTGGGAAATACCTTTGTAGCTTTTCTTCTCTGGAGCTGCATCCAGACTTATCTCTTCCTTCTTGCATCTCTGCAGGATCTCCTCTCTCTGTCACAGGAATGCAGGAAAGCTACAGATTTGTGAATGAGAGTGGAGCTGAAAAATGAATACATAGTTAAAAATGAGTGTTTTGGCTTTGTGCTTTTGGAATCTGTCTTTGCAAATGAAAGAAAAAATTGTCTTTTATTTGTTTTAGTCATTTTGTGAACATATATTTTGTCAGTAGGTATTTTTCCAGTAGCTATATATTTTGTCTTATTTTGTTTACAGACAGTTCTTCAGGATGAAAGGCAGAGTCAGGCTCTGATGCTGAAGGTTAGTTATTTCCATTTCTATTTTCTGTGGAAAAGATCTGTTGGCAGCAAACCTAGTTTGTTTCTGTGGAAAATCTTGAAATAATTGAAGTATTTCTTCATATAAAGGATGGCTTTTAGAAGGTGCTTCTGAAATTGAGGGATGTTTGTAGACTTGAAGAGGGTTAGTAATTGCTGCAGAAATGAAATTTTAGGCTTGATGTTAGGGAACTTAGCTGGGTAGATGTACACTGCCTTATTTTCCAAAGCTTGTAGGTTTGTGTGTCACTGTCTGACGTGACAAGATTGATGATCACTTCTGACAGAGGGTAATAGGGATGTCTTTTTGCCTTTCTTTTCCATGTTTTCTCATTTAACAGTGTAATTACAGACCTGTCATTATGGCAATGCTAGATTGAGTTCTGTAACATTTATTAAGTGTTGGTTATTCTCCCCAAATTCAGAACTGCTCAGTTGAAATTCCACCTGTAGTATCTCTGTATTCCTGTGGTGAAGGCCTTGGCAGTGGTTGGGAGAGGGGGATGGCAGGGAGTTGTGCCAGGTTGGTGTTGATGGCACTTTGCATCCACAGCTGGCTGACTACTACTATGAGGAGAGGATCTGCATCCTGCGCTGCGTCCTCCACCTGCTCACCTACTTCCAGGACGAGAGACACCCTTACACAGTGAGTCCAGGCCCTGATGCCATTGAAACAGGCTAAATATGGAAGCTGTGGGGTAGTTCCCTGCTTGTGCAAAAAGCCCACGAGTGTGCATGTGAGAAGTTCATGGGTTTGTTTGTTTCTTTAAGGCACA